AATATTGAGAGAAGACTAGGATATTTATACCTTGGGGGTAGTGGTAAAAGCTTTGGCTGTTAGGTACTTTGTGAGACATTGTATTTACATATGGAAGTGGGTTTCTGCCACACTGCTGTCTGCTTGAAAAATCACACAGGAAGGCATGGTATTCCTGGAGCCAGAGGCCATGTTTATGTTTAGAGCATTTGTGGCGGGCACTTCAAAAAGAGGCAGGAAGGATGCCAGATACTCTGCTGAAAGGAGTCTCAGCACATAATTCCGAGCTGCATGAGCTGTCCGGACATGAAGGGACTTCTACTTCACAGCAGGGGCCCCAAAAAATCTTATTATCATAGATGTTTACCAGCAAGAAAGAAAATCGTTGAGAAAATTGTTTCTTTAACCTTTGTAAACCAGTAAGGTGTAAATTCTGTCCGTACTACATGCAAAATAGACATGGTATTTCTCTTTAATGTCTTCTTTGAACTTTGTTTATATTTTTTAGATCATTTATATATTTGTATTTGGTGTCTGTAATAGCAAATCTTGATGGCTAGTAAGTAATACAATTTCTGAAACTAAAAAGATAGCATTTTATAGTATTTATTTTCATCAGTATTACATTTGTCAGATTAACTCATGCTGTGATGGAAATCTAATTTATCTCCTTTAGCACCCAGTTGTAAGAAATTACCACAGTTACAGTCTATTCTTTGTTAGTTGTATCAACCTGAAAGGCAAACCGAGCACACATGTCTGAGGACAAAGGGTTTATTTGAGCCAATCTAGGAAGATCATTCTAGAGCAACAAATTGGCTGTCTCCCAGTGGCCTCTTAGGGTGTGGGTTTTTCAAAGATGAAAAGGAATAGAGGAGATTATGATACGCTGTTTGTATAATTATACTGATGACAACACTGGATGCAGATTATTGGTTGGGAAGCTTGTATTGTAACAGATTCCTGAGAAGAAGGAAGGCTTCTATTGAGGGTTTTTTTGTTGTCCTTGTTTTCTCCATCCAAGGCTGCTCTCAAACTCATCATCCTCCTGCCTCTGCTTCCCAAGTGGAGCAGTTACAGATGTTCATCCTCACACCTATATGCTTCTTGGTGAGTCTGCAGAAGCCTCTCCCCAGGTCAGAATGACCTGGAATGCTTAACCTAGCTGAAGAATTTTGTCATTTTATTTCAATTTTGTATATGTGACATTTTAAATTCTTTCTCAGTGGCTGGCCTGGCCTACATGGTAAGTTTCAGAAGAGCTTGGGTTACAGAATGAGACCTTGTCTCAGAAAACAAAACACAAAAACAAAAAAAGATACATGAGATCATGAGACATATGGTCTCCTCAATGTTAACTGGGAATATAATCCTGATTTTAAATATAGAAATAATAAATGTTTGGCTGAAGTCCCCAAACTGAATATCATGATCAGAGTATAAGTTAAGGGACACAAGAGTGATTGTTAAATATAAAAACATATTAGAATTATACAGTTGCAAATATAAGGAGGTTGAAGATTAGCAGTTTGGTTTTCCAAGTTCAGCATAATAATGTGAGGACCTTGATTTCTTAACCCTGGAAGGAACACGAATGATCCTGGATCTTTGTACTATTGTCCTGAAATACTGAATAGATGCCTGTTTGAGAGAAGTGCGCAGCTCGACCAAGTCCTGATGGAGCCTCGTGTCTGTAATTCTTCTGCGAGTGTTCTCTGTTACATATGCCGTATTCAGGTCCTCTCTGTGACACTTGTGCTATCCTTAACTCACCTTTACTATTACAAAGAATTTTCAGATAGGGTTTTTTTTTCCTTAAAATAATCATAACATAAAATGGTGTTGATTAAAATCTAAAATAAGCCTTTACCAGCGTTCTTCAGTTGTTGAACATATAAGAAAGTACAGAGAGCCAGCTTCTCAATCTGCACTACTGATTTTTTTTTTGATTTATTTTTATTTTATGTGTATGCATGTATTGCATGCATGTAAGTGCACCTGTATTGTGCAATGCCAAGGAGGGCAGAAGAGGGTGGCAGATCCCCTGGAACTGGAGTTATGGATGGTTGTTAGCCACCATGTGGGTGCTGGGATTTGAACCTGGGTCTTATATAAGAGCAGCTAGCTTTTAACCACTGAGCCATTTCTCCAGCTCCCCATTATTGATATTTTTGCTGCGATTTGTTATAGATGGCTGTCCTATGTCTTGTAGGATGTGTAGCAGTATTTTTGGCTTCTATTCACTGGGTAAAGTTATTAGCTCTCTCCTGCTTCAGGTGGGAGAGTTGAATGTCTCCAGGTATTGCCATGTATCCCCTCCAGAGGTAGAATTCACTACTGCTTTGAAACAGTAACTTTTAATTTCCCCCACTGTAGTTTTTCATTCAAGAAAGAACCATCAGTGGGGTTTTGGTGGGTTTGTTCTAGGTATTTTACCTCAGAGTAAATACTAAGCATTCTCTTTGTCTACTAAAGGTAGGCATATGGAGGAAGCTACTTGAGTAGACTTATTTTTAGCCTCCTATCCCGAGCTTCCTTGGAAAGGCTGAATCTTTCTTGACCTCATTTTCCTCTAGGAGTGTTTTAGGCAGTCCCCTCTTCTGCCTCCATCTATCAACATTCTTCCATCCATTCATGGTTTCCAGAATTTTCCCATGATTGTCTTCCTCTTCATGTGATGTGTGGTTATAGGTTTATGCCTTTCTCTTTTTTTGCTGTCATTTGAAGGGCATGTCCAGATAGCAGCTCTTTCTCTGTCTCTAAGCTGCTTAATTATTTTAAACCAGAAAACCCTAGAGAAGACTTTATTTTAATTCACTCAATGAATGTACAAGAAGTGGTACCTTCTGACCTTCCCCACTTTTTTCTTCTCTTTTCTAGGGCTCATTATCCTGGGACGTATTCAGTTTGGAGTGCAAAATTAACTAGGAAGCAGCTTTGGGCTGCTGAAGATTTTAGCACTTTGAACAATGATGTGGGTGCAGGCTGTTGGGGTCGGATATTAAATCAGAATTATATCAATGGCAATATGACCTCGTAAGTTATTTAAAATAATTTTTGGGGAAGTAATAATAAATTTTAGAAAATACAGTATAAAAAATATAATGAACCTCTGTAGTTTTACATCCTAGATTCAATGATTGTAAACATTTGCTGTATTGATGTCATCTATATGTATACCTATACCTAATTTACATTTAACTTACACCTTCTTTTCTGTTTGAAGAGTTCATATTAAGGAAAGTTTGGTTTATGGCAGTACAATGATTTTTGATAATCTACATATACTTTAATAAATATTTATAAAATAAATTATGTCATGATAGTGTACCATTAGATTTTTGGTATGTATTTCTGAAACTTAAGGATATTCTCTCATATGTTTGTATTGTTTTATAAATATGAACATGTAAAATTTTTCCCAATATTCAGTCTATATTCATAGTTTTAAAAATGCCAGTTGTAACTTTATCTATCAAAGCTCCATGCATTGCATTTAGCAGTTATGGCTCTCAAGTCTCTTTTTGCTTATCTTTCCCCCACTTTTTATGTTAGCGACCTTTTCAGAAGACCCAGCTCTGCTTGACTGATGCCTCATGGGATCTCTTAACTCTGTAACTGTTCACATTACAGAAGTTCTTAAGAAACAGCACAATCCTTTCTCTTTTTAAAGGAAACATTTCTTAAATGCTTTGGCGATAATTTAATAGTAATTGGAATCCAATTATAAGTAGAACAAAAGCAAACCAATATAATATTTTCGTGGTGGCTTGTCTGGTGTTAAGATAGTGCATGTTCTTTGTAGACAACCGAGAATCTGATGAGTCCTGTGAAGCACAGCCACCTATAACCTTCCCATCCAGAGATGACGGCCCTCAAGATGTCTCCTGTTCTTTACTCACATATGTGTTTTCAATTAAAAGTTGACACCCTGCTAGGTAACCTGTTAAGTGTGCTGCTTCTCACTCAATAGAGCATTATGAAAATTTTCTCATATTGAGTATATTTTTACTTCATCATGGTTTTTTTTTTGAGATAGGATTCCCTATGTTTCTTAGGCTGGCCTTGAACTCCATCCTTCTGCCTCAGCCTCCTGAGTGCTGAAATTATAGGCACACAGCACCACATACTTCTCGTACTTATGTGTATTTTGTTACATAAAGAAGTATTTCCTAAACTTGCTTTGTCTTAAGAAGTACCTGAGGTGCTTGTTGTACTGGTTTCTAGGCAGCTGTCCAGACTTGCAGGGTCCTGGGGCTCTGTACGTTTGGGCAGTTTGCGATTCTGATGGTGCTCAAGTTTGGGAAACACAAGTGTAGAAAATACATTACTATTAACTGAATATGTTGCTTTTCCTATAATAGAAAGTTGTTCTAGTCTTAATAGTTTTTCACAAACTGAAAGGATTAACTAGATACAATGCTTTTATGTATGGAATTGTTTCTTAGACATGTATTCTTAGAAATGCAGTGTCTATGGTGGAGGTCACATGAGTTTTAAAGGGATTTGTACAAGTTTTAAAAACTGCTCTTTGGAAAGTTTTGTCTCAGTTGCTTCCTCTATCATTAGCTAGAGAGGATACTAGGCATGTGTGTGCCAAATCATGAGAACTCTTACGATGTTCTCTGGTAGTGTGGTTTCTTGAAAATTAGGATTATTATTTTTACTTTGTATTGAGAGAATTAGAAAGCTCTGATTTTCAAAGAATGTCAGTGTGGCTTTTTATTTTGGATAAGGACTTAATCATGAAAGTAAAATTTTCTGGGTGAGCACTGCTTGTTTTTAGCTGTAAGGAACCCAACGAGGAATCAAATCCTCTCTTGTGCCTGAATTTTCTGAGTATATAGGGTCATGATTGTAAGCTTAGCTTATGCTGCAAACTTTAGTATCGGCCATCTGAAAGAAAGGGCCAAAAATCTGACTAGCAAGCTGATCCAGTTAGTACTTCAGCTGAAGCAAAATAATAAAGGGCACACAGCCCAGAGCTTGCTATGTGCTCTGATACTGGTGATTTAATCACCCTAGCTACCTTGGGATCTAGGTGCAGTTGTTTCCTCATTTACAGATGAGAAAACGGAGTTCAAGGCGGGTTATGTGCTGGAGTCATGATTTGGGCCCAGACAGTCTTGGCTCTAAGAGTTCTCAATTGTGAAAAACTGGGGAAATTAAGAAAGCTGACTGGCAAAGGAGAGCATTTTGTTTACATTTGATTCCAATTTTTGGCATGTCCGGTGCATTTCATCTTCTGGCCCTACTCATACATCCCATATATACCTGCATTAGTTTTTATTCTCTGATGTACCACTAAGATGTCTAGATAAATACAGAACTGGATTTTGAAAAATGTGAATGAGCTGAGGCCACTTGTATTTTGTTTGGGGTACTTAAAATTTTATGTTCATTTACATATGTACTTATAAAAGGACTTTTTACTGCATGCTTTTAGACATTTATTTTTTAATCACAATTTTTTTGGTGTTTCTGTTTGTTTTTTAAATCACACCAATGTTACAGCACAATTGCTTGGAATTTGGTGGCTAGTTATTATGAAGGCTTGCCATATGAGCGATGCGGATTGATGACTGCCCAAGAGCCATGGAGTGGGCATTATGAAGTAGAGTCTCCTATATGGGTATCAGGTATGTATGCCTAGATTCTATCTCTCTCTCTCCCTAAATTCTTCTGTAAGAGACAAACCAGAAAACACCTATGGAAGGTTACACAAACTGTCCATGCTTTAAGTGTGAGTCTATTTTAAGGGAGACTTGATAGTGTTTTATAAGAATGTTTGGGGTAACTAGACTACTTATTATACTCTATACACTTGATTATTTAAGATCAGGTCCTTAGAAAAGGGCAAAAGAGGGAAAAGGGAGGAGGCTAGGTAAAGGAAGTGTTTAGTGATGGAGACAGAGGTAACCTTATAAGTATTTAGAGAATTTTGATAATTGCTAATAGAATTAATGTATTTATAAGGATTCATCTCAATTCAGAATGTCTAGAAGTCTCGGAATTAGTCTTGAAGACAGTTTGCTTGTTTATATCACTTCACTTTTACTGAATGAACTCATATGTTAATAAAACCAAGAGTGAGTGAATAGTATTAGATGAGTAGAAAACAAAAATTACAATCATGAAATAAATCAAAAGAAATATGTTACATGAAATATCATAACTTTAGATTGTCCCATAAATCTGTTGATATATACTTAGGGGGCTGGAGAGATGGCTCAGTGGTTAAGAGCACTGACTGTTCTTGCAGAGGACCCAGATTCAAATGCCAGTACCCACATGGTGGCTAACAACTGTCTATTAACTCCAGTTGCAGGGGATCTGACACCCTCTTCTGACCTCCACAGGCATTGCATGACATGGATGCACTCACATGCATGCAGGCAATATAATCATACACATAAAAATAAAAAATAATAGATAAAATATTAAAATAAATCTATTGATATTATTTAAAGATGATTTTTAGAAAAAGATAAAATCATGACTCATATAGCTAAAAAAGATCACATGCTTAAGATTTTATGTTACTCACATGATGGGACAGAACCAAGTAGGTGTTAGAACCACTTAAAGTAAAAGTCAGCAAAGCCAGTTTTTGTGTGTGTAGAGTAGAGCGTTTTGACATGAATTGTAAATGGAGACAAGCTGAGTTTCTCACATCTTGGAGATCAGTTATTTGTTAACTAGACATGACAATTTACATGGCTCAGAGGTAGGGCTACAGGATCTAGCTGTTTCTACTGAAGTCTGAATTTTTTACTATAGTATCACAAAGGAGGTTGATACATAGATAATGGACAGCAGTCTTACTCTTTCATGGAGGAATGTAAGCATATTAATTTTAATCATCTTAAATAAAATGTTTATTAATATTGACATTTTTAGCGTTTTAGTAAGCTGTTTAACATTTATGATATCTTGTTTCAAAAGCATATCCATAGCCTTTTAAAAAATCATTTTCTTCAAAAGTAAGATAATTAAAATTAAACATTTTAATTTTAAACTCTCATTTTGGTGATTTTCTTTGTTCATTGATGTGTTATTCTCAGATCTGTAATGTGGCATTATTCTAAACTTAACTGGTTCTTTTAAAAATAGGAAAAATTTAGTAAGACATATGTGTTGCTTGGTTAACTCCATAAATGCTGAAATTGTTGGCCTTTTGGGGCGTAGGTGGGGGACACGGAATATTGCTCAGTGTATTTCAAGACCAGATTTGGAGATGACAGTAAATACATATTTCAGAAATAAATTTGAGTCCACAAAATATTTTTAAGTGTATCTTTAACTTTTAAAATTCTCTTTCTTCCTATTATATTAAAATAGGATAAGTAGTGATAAGCCAGGATTGGGAACGTGACTTAATTGTGCACTTGGGGAAAGGAAAACAATCAGTATTCATGACTTGACAGGTCCATTAAATTATACCAGTCAGTTAAAATATCTTCTGTAATTAGACCTTTCAGTTGAAATGGTTAAAAATGGAAACATGAGGTTGGCAGATGTTTTCCTAAGACAGAATATAGCTACTTAGAATCAGTCAGACTCAATTTGGCAGATAGCTGTTCTCTTTTACCAACATTTTTATCTTTTTGTGTCTTTTCTGATTTCCTGTAGCTCATACAACCCAGTTTGCCAAACCGGGCTGGTATTACCTGAAGACAGTTGGGCACTTAGAGAAAGGAGGAAGCTACGTAGCTCTGACTGATGGCTTAGGTAACCTCACCATCATCATTGAAACTATGGTAATTTTCTGTTGTTGATACCTAACGAACGGGTGTCTCATAGTCTTCACCAGAACTTTGCCTTCAGAGAGAAGGGTGCTGTTTTCCTCTGGGTATTCGAAGGGCATGGGAAGAAGGTGGGAGGAGGTTAGGTGGTAACCTTGCTCCTTCTGTTGTTTTCTCAACTTTTCTCCTTAAAAAAGTGTGGCGCTAGCTAGTCCTGAACTTTGTCATGTGATTATGAAGAAGCTGTACCTAGCATTCAGGTAGAAGGGTCCTGTGGGCATGTGCTTGGTTCTCTTGGGTGTGTAGCGAGGCGTGCAGCTCCTGAGTTAAATAGTAAGTAGCATTTGGAAGAGCTGCCAAGTTATTTTCCAAAATTGCTTCACCATTTTACCTGGCCACCAGCACTTTACAAGGTCCCGTTTCTATACACGCTTGGTAACAGTTACTGTGCATCTCTTTGCTCATTGCGTTCGAACAGATGTGAGTTGGTATCTTATTGTTGTTTGATCTGCCTTTTCGAGAAATGTCTATTTAAATCTACATTGACTATTTTCAAACTGGAATATTTTATTTTTATTCCTGAATTCTTTATATAATCCGTATAATATCCCTTATCAGATATATGGGGTTCTCCTGTATTTTCTCTCATTCTTGAACTCAGTACAGAGCTCTGGTTTAGCTCAGATTCATATCCTCCTGCCTCTCCTGGGCCCAAATGCTGGAAACTAGAGGCAGGAGTCACCACTCCCGGCTTGTCTTTCACTTTCTAATGGCGTTCTTTGAAGTAAAAAAAAGTTCTAAATGTGTATGCAATCCCAATTCGTTTTTTTTTTCTTTTGTTTAATGTACTTTTAGCATTCTCTCTAGGAAACTACTGCCTAACTGAAGATCATGAAGATTTGAGATTTACATATATGTCTTATTATAAGGCTGATACTGTTTTAAATCTTATATTGAGGTTTCTGATCCATTTATTTCTTAATGTGTTAGATATTTGTTCAGCTTCCTTTTTCATGTGTTTGCTTGCCTAGCTGTTCTTGCACCGTTTATTAAAAAGACTATTATTTCCACTTAAATTTTATTTTTGGCACCCTTGCTGAAAATCACTCTGTAATAAATTTGAGAGTTTATATTTCTATATCTATGATCGGGTGGTTGCCACCCCACCTTAATTGCTTAATTCTGAATTAGTTAGGCACGAGAACTTTCTGGCTTTGATCTTTTTCAAGAGTGGCTTTTTGGATTTCAATAGTAGATTTCAGCATCAGTTTTAAGACCAACATTAGTTTTTGCAAAGATGGTAGAAAAAGTTTTGGTAGAGATTTTTCTCACTCTGTAGGTTAATTTGGGAAACATTGCCATTCCAGCCTGCCAGTCAATGAGTATGAGATGTCTTATTTAATTAATTTCTCTGTATTTTGCCATTTTCATCATATTAACAATATTTCTTTTTGTTAATATTATTGCTTACTGTCTTATTTTTGATCCCATTGTAAATGAACTGTCTCAATTTTATTTTCATTTATCATGTGTAGAAATGTAATTGATTTTTATGTGTTGGACTTGCATCATCTCACAATTGGCTTCTTTCTTGAATTTCTAGAGGATTTTCTGTGAGTATGTCACCTCCAGGTGAAGACCCTTTTACTTCTTCAGTATTAGCTGTGGGGTTTGTAGTGTCTAAAGCCTCAGGTGAGGATTTTCTGTGAGTATGTCACCTCCAGGTGAAGACCCTTTTACTTCTTCCTTTCTATTAGATGCCTTTTGTTTCTTCCCTTGGCCTGCTTGCTGTTGCTTTCAACCCCTCCTTATGTCCATAGTAAGAACATACATGGTGTCTTGCTCTTGATGCAGTGGGGCCTCAGTAAGTGTAGTATTAGCTGTGGGGTTTGTAGTGTCTAAAGCCTCAGGCTGTGGAACCTCTCTCCTATATTTAGAGTGCTGAGTCTTGTTTAGAGTTCTGGATTTCACCAACTGCATTACCTTGTTGTTTTTGCCCTTTCTTCTAATAGTTTTCTATGTTACATTGCCTGATTTTTGTTTGTGGAACCACTCATGCATTCCTAAAATGAATCCTACTTTGACGTCATACATTGCCCTTTGTATTTGAGTCTGAATTTGACTTTGCTGAGAATTTCCTGTCTGTGTTTAATAGTTTTCTTTCACTGTGATGTCTGTTTAGCTGTTCTATCAAAGTGATACCCCATAGAATGAATTGGAAAATGGTCTTTGAAGACTTTGAGGTTTGATAGTCTCTAAATGTTTGGTGGACTTCATCCATGATATCTGGCCCCAGGATTTGCCTTCATGAAAATTTTGGTGTAGTGATTCAGTCTTTTTTTCTTTTTCTAACTTGTTATAGGTTTCCAAATTTATAATTTTTCTCAGTAGCTTTGGTATTTTGTATTTTTCTACATTTTTTTCTAATCTGTGTTGTAGTTTACGTACATGCATTGAACTCCTTTACCTAGCTTTTCATCCTCAGCTTAGTAACCTGAGTCATGTCTTTCTTCTTAATTAGTCTTCCTAAAAGTTCAACTTTGTTCATCTTTCTAAGAAAAAAAACAACCATTGCATGTATTGATTTTCCTTATTTCAGTATTTCCATACTAGTGTTTAGTATTTTCTTCTTTCTTTGTCCTATGGATTTGTTTTATCTTGGAAACTTTTTTAGCTTCTGAAAGTAAAAGGCAAAGTTATTCCTCTGAGATACTTTTTTCTGCTTTTGTTTTATTTTTGTTTATTTTATTTATTTATTTTTGAGACAGGGTTTTACTGTGTAGCACTGGCTGGCCCAGAACTCACTATGTAGACCAGGCTGGCCTCAGACCTGCAGAGACCTGACTGCCTCTGACTCCTGATCACTGAAATTAAAGTCATCACTGAGATAGGTTTTAATAAATATGTTTAGATGTGTATAGACCTCACCTACTCTGTAAGTAGTACTTTGGTGTAATCTATCAGTTTTGTGTTTTAATTTTTTTTATCACAAAGTATATATTTTTATTTCCTCTGCGATTTCTTCCCTGACTCACTGGCTCCTGTAGCAAGGCAATTTTAATTTAAATTTTGTCAACTTTTGCAGTTGATGCTTCATTTTCTTCCATTTGATTGAGAGCATGGTTTCTGTTATTCCTTCCTTGCAGTTGGATTGCAGTCTCTGCTGGTGTAGGTCTGTGCTGGAGAGTGTGCGCTTGGGGAGAATGTGTGCTCTGAAGTGCGGGGTTCCTGTGGAGGGTCTTAGGTCTGTTTGATTTAGAGTGTTCAGTATGTCTTTTCCTGCATTAATAATGATGATTGAAGCCTTCATTTGTGAATTGTCTTTTATCCTGTTTGTCAATTTTTGTTTTATATTTGAGATTTTCTTGGTAGGAACAAACACATTTGTATTTCCTGTGGTTTTAGTGTCAACCTTTGCGTCGGTAAAATTTCTCTCTCTCTCTCTGTTTGTATTTTCCTTTTCTTTTAAAATCTATTTTGCCTGCTATTATTGGAGTCATTGCCATTTCTTGAGGCACTGGCTAGTGTGATATTTATTTTCTCTCGTTTTCACCTTCAGTGTCTCTCGGACTATAGCGTGTGTCCCCTTTCAATAGCTATGGCTGGAACTTGCTTTCTTTTTACTCTTGTCTGTCATTTTTTACTGGATCATCCAATAATCCATTAGCATTAATGTTGATATTGACATAGTTGGATTTATATTTGCCTTTGTGGCTTTTCATTTGTCATGATTTTGTTTCTGTATTCCTCCTTTACCATCTTCTTTTGTGTTCAGTTTTTCTGATTTTTGATGCTGCGTTTTATTTCTCTACTGATGTTTCCACTACACTTTTGTGAATTACATCTTTGGTAATGGTTCTAGAGTTTATCAGAATCACTTCAGACTTAAACTCCCTGAACCACAGTGAGGTGTAGCAAGTGTTTTCTCTTTTTTACGCATACGCCACACCTCTGTCAGAAGCCTAACAAGATGCTGTGAAATTATTACCTTTATATACATTTTCAAAAAGCGAAGAAAGAACAGTATATAATTTATCTTGTTACATGTATGTATTTCTCATTTTTGGCACTATCATTTCTCTCTGTGTATTCACACCACCATGTGTGGCCATTTCCTTATCCCATATGTGGTTTGGCTAGGAGTACACAGTACACAGTCATTAAACATATGCTAGAAATATATTTTATTAATTTGAAATAAATTCATATTTGTTATGAAGTTTTGTCATTTCTAGTTTTCAAGCATCTTTAATGTTTTCCCATATGACAGCCTATACCTCATTTGCATAACACATGATTTTCTTTCCTTCAGAGTCATAAACATTCTAGGTGTATACGGCCATTTCTTCCTTTTTACAATGTTTCACACCAGGTGGCTACCTTCATTCTTAAGGGATCTTTGGTAAGTACATGTATTTTATTTTTATTTTTATTTAAAAATGTATGTTAAGGCTGGAGAAATGGCTCTGTGGTTAGGAAGCTTGCTGCTCTTCTGGAGGACAGAAGTTCTGTTCCTAGCACATATTAAGGGGCTCACAACTGCTTATAACTTCAGCTCCAGGGATCTGATGCCCTCTTCTGGCCTCCAAAGACACCTGCACACATGTGTGCACACATTCAGACTGACACACATATACACAGAAATAAAAGTAAATCTTAAAAACGGTTAGAATTTATGTATTCAATTACAGGCCAATAATTCTTAAGTGAAGTCAACAATTTGCATATGAATGGATACCTACCTTGGTGCCTTGCACCTCCTGACTTTTATTAAAAGACAGTGTTCTGTAGCCCAGGCTGGCCTCACTGTGTAGTGGAGGATGGCCTTGAAATTCTGATCATCCTGCCTGTATCTTCCCAGTATTTAGATTACAGGCATGTACCACCACACCTGGTTCAAGTAGTGCTGGGGATGGAACCCAGGTCCTGTACATGCTAGATAAGCCCTCTACCAACTGAGCTTATCCCTAGTAAGCTGACTTCTTTAAATCAAACAAGGCAGCAGCCAGTACCTACTGGAGTTCTCTGTGTTTTTGAGGAAAAGCTACAAATGTCACTTGCAAGAAAGTTATCTTTGGTGGTCTAAGCAATAATTGTATGATCTAAGGAACTTTCAAGCACTGATCTTTAGAGTATTCTATACTGAAAAATAATAAGTAAAAAAAAAATAGTAAATAAAACCAAACAAAAGGAAAACATCCAAAAGTCACCAGATTTTTTAAACCTCAGATTTGGTTTGGGAGAATAACGTATGCTTTCTGATTACTAATGGCAGAAGAGTTGTTTTTTTCCAGAGAGTTATTAGGGGCTGGCAGGGGTGGGAGGGAACTAAGAGGGGTAACCAGAATGTATTATATACGTGTATGAAATTGCCAAAGAACAAACTTTTATTAAATAAAAAAGAAGGAAAAATGTGTAATTACTGCCATCAGAGAGCAGTATAGTTTATCAAAACACTAGCGAAGGTAAGTTTGCTCACAAAGCACATAGTAAAATAGTTGAGGTTTTTATTGAATATTTTATTAAATGTATGTTAAAAAGGACTTCATTAAGCTGAAAGGCTTCAAAAAGAGGCACCAACACTTGCTTTTTATTATTAAATAGTTGCCTCCAAAATCAAGCTAAAAGCTATTTTTTTAGGCTGCAATGTTCATGTATATTTATATAAAGCACACAACAAAGACATCTAGTGACACTTCAGAAGGTGTTAAGACTAACAGTGTGTGCAGACTAATACTCAGAAGCCCTAAGATCCTATTTAACTTTTTTTTTTTCAAGTTGTTAAAAACCACGTGGTTTTGTTTCTTTTCTTTTCTTTTTTGTTTTATTTTATGTGTGTGCATGTATTCCCTGCATGTAGGTAAGTGCACCCATGTTGTGCAATGCCCTTGGAGGGCAGACGAAGCTGTCGGATCTCCTGGAACTGAAGTTGCAGACAGTTGTTAGCTGCCATGTGGGTGCTGGGATTCGAACCTGGGTCTTCTGCAAGAACAACCGGTATTCTTTGCTGCACCATCTCTCCAGCCCGTTTTGTTTCTTTTTTACACTATTATTCATGCCTGAACATGGAGAATCATCTCCTTTCATATTTTTAAATGTTTTATTTTTTAGTTTTATGTGTATGAGTATATTGTCTGCATGTATGTAAGTTCAGTGCCTGTGGAAGTCAGAAGAGGGTGTCAGATCCCCTAGAACTGGACTTATGGAAAGTTGTTAGCCACCATGTGTGTGCTGGGAAATGGACCAGGTCCTCTGTAAGAACAGCCAGTGCTCTTAACCTCCGAGTCATCTCTCTAGCCCCCTTTCATATAGTTTAGTTTTGAAAGACACACACACACACAGACACACACACACACACGTCTAGAATTATTATCATTGACAATGTGGTACTTAGGCATTTACTGACCATATGAAATATAATTTACTATACTTCTTAAAGAACATTATGGATTATTTGTGCCAGCTCCTCAGTTTTTAAATTTCCTATTAACATAAAATCAGTATTCACTTAGTGTTTTGTATATACCTACCATAATATTGCATTCTTTGGAGGAAAAAAATTTAGAACACAGTGTTTCCTTTGAAGAAGTTCTAATATTATGTGGTAGATGATCATAACATATACAGAAATGAAATGCAGAAGAGACCACTGTAAGGCCATCTGTAAAAATAAAGATCTTTTATAACATAATGACATGTTGAAAATGTTTTTACACAGGGAAAGATGAATATTTTTGAAGCAAAAATCATTAAAATCTTTTAAAAACATTTGCTAATATCATTAGGTGGTGATGCTATGGATTGCCACTGGGTGAATGCAAAGTCAAAGGGCACAGCCAAGAGGTTCGAGAGTAAAGATTTGTTCCCTGCCGTGCTTTCCCCTGAGAACGGAAGCATATAGTTTTGATGAGGGAGCCTGTACAAAGCCTAGGAAAGAGCATCAGGGACAGCCACATTCCTGGGCACGCGCAGTTTACCTGTCCAGGGTCTAGGAAGGAGAATCAGGGACAGCCACATTCCTGAGCATGTGCAATTTAAGGTCTTGGTTCTTAAGAAAAGACAGTAGGCACATTTTTGGGCACGTTCAGCTAAAATCGATAGAACAAGACGGGAGCATTTCTGAGCATGCTCAGTACAGTATTATAATGATCCGGGTTTACTGTGGTCCCCAATCAAAGCAATTCAGTGTCTCCGTGACTGCTGGCTTTCCTCGGGTTTCTTTGAAGCACCTTAGCTGAAATAAAGATAAAAAAGGAAAACTTGGAAGATTCATGAACGCAGGAGTTTGCTCCCAATGGCGCCTGGTTTGCTTAGTTGCTAACACTTCTAGGAAATTAAATATTTGCTTGAACATTGTCTTCCTGCTCTCAAAAATGTTGCGATTTAAAGTTTGGGATGGCACTTTTGGTAACTAGAAATGGTGGGGGTTGCCTTTACTCTTCTTACAGCTTTGGTTTCAGAAATCATTCAAAAGATACAGTGAACGACTCAAGCATGTTTTCTTGTCTTCTCCACAGAGTACGATACAAGAGCTACAGGTGTGGTATACCAAGCTTGGAGGACCGGCTGAGACCCTGCATTTTAAACAACTGAGTTCTCTATGGGTAGTTTTAAAATAAATTCCTATGATTGGGGTATTGTGATAGTAAAAGAGTAAATGGGAACAAATTTGATTAGTGAATTTAAGAAATTTGATTTTATATAGTTGATCATTACAGCTACAGCATAACAGTGATAAAAATGTCCCCAGCTTTTTCTTAAATAGAAATTCTATTTAGGGCATTGTGGAAGTTTGCATGTTCATAGCTGCGTTTTATTCTTCAGTCCTGGTTTGTCCTGGTGGGTGTGCCACCATCACTGCCCAAGTGAGAACTTTGGATGTCAGTTGAGATTCCTTGCCCTGTCCCTCTGTCCCAGCAGCAGTCAGCTGCGGGCACTTCTGCCAACTGTGACATCTCTTATGTGTCCTTGTCCTCCATTCCCACTGCTGCTGCCTGTTTCCATTTGTAATTACTCTCCCGGATTTCAGAAACTGTCTCTCCAGACTCCAATCTGACTCTCAAGGCCAGCCATCACACCGCGGCCTGAAGTGGTGTGCCCAGAATGCCTGTTGAGAATGTATCAGCAGTGTCCGTGGCTGCTCATAGTCCTACATGACCCTCCTTGTCTTCTTCTGAGGGAGAAGATGGCTCTCCTTTCTAGACCCACATCTAAGTAGCTGGCCTCTCCTCACACACTAAACTTCTAAAATGGCTTCTACCATGTCTGTCTGTGCTCTTGCAAGAGTCAGCTCAATGTCACTCCCTCTGAAGCGTCCCTCACCCTTCTCAGTGCAGGACTGTGTGCTGATTTGATTACTATTCTCCCACCACACTGGCTACGTTGAGACTGGGGCTCTGCCCTCCTTGCTTTTAGCCCAGAGGCATACTGCAGTACCTAGGATATGATACTTTCTTGGGCATACTGCAGTGGTGTATATGGTGCAGGAAAGGTTCCAAAAATGGATTGGCCCAAGCAAACACATTACTTCGTCTTCCTGACATAATCTGCATTTTCTGATAGTTATTAATAATTCTGGTAATTGGCTAGTTAATATCAGTGATTACCCATTAGAAAAAGAACAGCCTCTACTTGTATAACAGTAGCATAAGGAAATTGATGTTCCATAGCAAAAAGAATAACATTTGGAGTTAATCCTGTGCCAGAATGTGACATCAGATATTCATGGATCTGATCAGTTTGCTACTGTTAAAGCAAAGATATGATATTTACCCCTTTAATTCTAGGTAGATTAAAAACTCTTCACAGTCTTGAAGATGGACCTATATTTGATGCCCACACTAGTTATGTAAGGGATTCTGATGGCTTCAGAGGTCTCCCTTTACTATGGAGTAGCTGTGCTGCAGGGAGTACTTCCCAATGGCCACACACAGCTAAGCAAGCCTTTCATAGACATTAGTTTGACCCATATATATGGCTTTTCTCCACCAGTAAAACTCTAAAAGAGAAATACACAGGTCTCTTATTTACACTAATTGAATATATTTCAGCTTTAAAGAGCTTGCGATGAAATAGGGGAAAAAAGGGACAGAAATAGACTTAAGCATCATCTAGTCCTTCCCTCCATGCAGTGAAACTTTAAAAATTGTTTCCATAAAATATAGTTTATAAAGTCTCCTAAAATACCTTCTTAAAAAAGATTTCAATGTGTCTTTCATAAGTGTTTAGGAACCCTTAACAGCAGTGAACTGTTTTTCCTTTAAGCTAACGTTTTCAAAGCTGTTGTCTCCAAATGGATGACTACTGGCAGCTGGCCTGAGTGCAGGGCTGTCTTCTTTTTCAGCTTCTTGACAGCCATGGCGGTTTCAGACTGCCACTGCAGGAGGACCAGCTCTTCACACTCACCACTCTCACCAATGGGCACAAAGGCAGCTTCCCACCTCCTCCTAAGTCCCAGCCCTTCCCAGGTTCCTATAATGATGACTTCAACGTGGGTAAGTATTTTTTAAAACCAAAACTTGCCTCATTCTCCACCTTTCATGGAAATGGGCCAATTTCTCCCTCTCAGATTGGATGCATGATGGAGAGTGACTGGCAGAAGTGCATTTTTTTTTTTTTTTTTTTTAGCTCTCAATTCAGTATTTAGTAAAAGTGGGTTTTTCTAGTACCTTAAGGTAAATTTGTATTTTTCAATTCCAGAAAAAAATGTAAAGGTCATTGTGAGAATGAAAGTTATAATTGGAACTTGTTTTGGTGAAACTTTATTTGTGACTTTGAAAGTGGCCCCTTAGCCATCACTGGTATTTTTCTGTGTAGAAACTAAACCATATTTATGCCTGTCTTTCTTAGTGCTCATGAATAGAGTACTTAGGCAGTGGTGGTGCAGTTGGGGAATCCAGCTCATTATATGCCCGCTGTGCTTGGGAGGTTGTATTCTACCCCACTGGTGGTGCTTAGAGGGATCTGCCCTGTGGAAGAAAGGCCTCTTAGGAAAGCCATCTGAAAACAGCAGACAGGCCCACTCTGGTCATATCCCTAGATGACTGTAAACAACAAGATTTGTTTACCAAGATGTATTTTGTAGGATTATGGGTGTCAAAGATTGGTCAGTTGGCTTTATGATCTGCTTCTGAAATTGGTAGCTGTAGCAAAGAAACAGGGAGAACTAGTGTTGCTGGACTTCAGCCTCCTACAGGGGGAAGCCTGGCTTGCTTCACCAGAGCTAGAGACTCCCAGCTCTGCCCATCACTGTTGGGGTCTCAGATTCCCATCATAGGAAATGATCTTCCAGCTGATGGGCATTCAAAGTCCTTTGGATTTTCTACAGGGATCTGATCAACTATTTAGATGATTATAAAAGTACAAATGTTATATATGTATCAGTCTGTTAGATATAAACGCTAATCTTTGATTGCTTATAAGTATTATTTATGTATTTAAATTTTTCCAGAAGTGTTCAAAATGTACCATATGGTCCTAGAAGGGATTCCGTAAAGCTTGATGCCAAGTCACTAAGATACTAAGCAGAGAATTTATTGTGTTCTGAACAGACTACCCACTTTTTAGTGAAGCTCCAAATTTTGCTGATCAGACTGGAGTATTTGAGTACTTCGTGAATAATGAAGACCCCGGAGAACATCGCTTCACCCTTCGCCAAGTTCTCAATCAACGACCTATTACCTGGGCTGCTGATGCTTCCAGCACCATCAGCATTATAGGAGATTACAAATGGTATGAGCGGTAGATGCCCTCAGCAGGTAGCTGGTGGGAATAACCTTGCCTTGCTCTTGGGTGCATCCTGACTGAAGAGGTTTCAAGAGTCTTTGTGTCAAGAACCCAGCAGGGCTGGTTGTGGTGATGAACACCTTTAATCCCAGCACTCAGGAGGCAAAGGCAGGCAAATCTCTGTGAGATTGAAGCTAGCCTGGTCTACTTTGTGGGCTGGGGCTTACAGGGAGACCCTGTCTTAAACAAAAACCCAGTAGGTGAGTATCATGTGACCACAAGTAAAGCAAATCAGTTTCCTCTCTGTTCTTCCTTCAACTGATTCCTTTGATGGTGACTATTGTAGAGGAAATTTAACTTCAATAGAAGAACTGACCATTTTTTGGATCCAATTATATTATTATTTACAGACTTTGTGATTTGAGGGCTTTTTGTTTTTCAACTTGATTTGTTGATGCTGTGGTGCCATCTGCTGGATAAACAGTAGAATTACACTGCCTTACCTTGGGTATAAAATCTGTTGACCAAGGAACTAATGGCAGTAAGTAAAAAGCAAACTGTCTTTAATTTTTAAGGCTAAGGAATTCAAGTTATATTTCCTTTTCAATTAAAACATAATTTCTATATAAAAATTTCATCTTTAATCGAGTTATGAAATTTCAGTGTGCTGACTTTTTTTCTATTTTTTCATCATTGCTAGTACAGTGTCACTATGGAAACACACATATTTAGAGATAATGGTCATGCCAACTGCCCACTAGCCTTATCTAAAGGTTGGAAATTAGACAGGGAAGAAAAGATCCTTGAATAGCTTATCTGCATAGCTCTACAAATAAAGCCTTTATCTCCTTTGCCGCAATCTGCATTATAAATCTTGATTCTAGTCCTGAATGCTGACCTGAATTGAGAAACCTTTGATCAGGCAGTGTCTGAAACCGTAGGACTCATGAAAGCTTACTGAGTAGCGGACTTGCTGAGTATTGTAGACTTCCTTCTCATCTTAGGGTGACTGCACAACAGAAACACTATTTTCTGCATTGTCTTTGAGGTTGACACTTTACATGGATTTTCTGATCATAGCAGTGGAATTTGTGAATTCTTCATTTGTGATTAATGATTTTGTGGGACAGGTGGCTGAGGTAGGACAGGTGTCCAAGGCCTGGGTTTCATTATCTTGATCATCAATTTGGAACCCAGCCACTGAAGGAAACCACTTATTTTTTCTGTGGCATCTTGTGCTGGATAGCTTTAGTGTCAACTTGACACACCTGCGTTGAGGGTGTGAATTACCTCCATTGGACTGGCCTGTGGCCATGTCTGTGGGGCAGCTTCTTGATTATTCAGTGATGTGGGAGGGCCCAGCCTACTGTGGGTGGTGCCACCCCTGGGCAGGTGGGCCTATGTGGTATAAGAAAGCAGGCTGAGCATAGGCCAGGGGAACAAGCCGGTAAGCAGCATTCCTCCATGACCTCTCCCTCCAGCTCCTGCCTCCAGGTTCCTGCCCTGAGTTCCTACCTTGGGCTCCCTGATGATGATGATGAGATGTAAGCTGAATAAACCCTTTCCTCCCCAAGTTGGTAGTGGTCAGAGTGTTTTGTCATAGCAGTGGAGAAACAAACTAGAACAGCATCCCATGTCGCATGTCCCTGAACACTGTAATGGGCTGTCTTTAAGTTCAGACTTTCATGAGAAGCTCCTTAACTTAGGTAAAACATAGCACTAACCAAAGATTGACCAAAGCACCCCCTTGTGTAAATGTTTTACACTGTTTAAATGGTAATACTCAATCTTGACAGTGTTCTGTTGCAGTGCGTAGAGGTGAAAGAGTGTGGAGAGGGGAGAGAGTGACACATCCTGAACGGAAAGCAGCCAGGGGACAGCAGTGTCTCATGTCAAGGACTCTGCATTCCCTAAGCTGAATTTTCAGCATGCTGCTACACTGCTCAAGAGTATTCAGTGACCCCGTGCTGCTGCTTTAGCCCTACTCTTTCCTGTTGGACTTCTAAGATCTTGATGCTGTGATACCTTATATTTCTATTTTGTTTTCCAATTACTGTGGGAAAAGGAGGGAAAGAAAACTTGGTAAACAATGAAATTTTACAACCACCTTATGGCGGATGTATCATCCCCCTCCTTATAGATTGAGAAACAGGGGCTCTGAAATAAGATAAGCCAGAGTGTGTACATGGAAGTGGCAGAACCGGGGCCAGAAGTCAGGTCTGTCTAGTTCTGTTAACTCTACTCACAGCCACATTCTAATCCTGCTCTTCTTCCTAAGACCAAGAGACGGGAAATTGGCTGTCTGCAGTGCTGTTTTAGTCAACCAGTTCTCAAGTGTGCACAGTTCCAACAATCCTCAGCACTGGGCTGTGCACTGGAACCTCTTCACCGACCTAGATTTTGTTGAGAGCCAGTACAGTAATTTGGCCATAAAGGACAGGCTTTGCTGAAGCGTCTTAAGACTTTCTGTCTTAGCTTTGGTTGCGATCTGAAGAATGACAAAATGACCTATCCTTGGACACAGCTGAATTCTCCAGCCCTTGAATCAAGTTGGCTTGATATATTGGCAGGTTTCTCTTCTCTCAGTGTGATTAAGAGACTTACCCTATTTTGTGGAAGAATAAAGCACACTTTTATTATTTTTTATTGAATTTTTGTGTATTTCACACAGAATATCTCAATCTTAATCATCTTTATGCCCCCATCTCCCATAGTGACCCCCCCCACTGGAACCCATATACTCTGTCATCCATGTTAAGGCCAACTGTGTCAAGTCAGTGTCCCCAGATGTTCCCCAGTGCGAGTCCATCCATTGAGGTCTAGTCAGCCTGTCTAGAGTCTCCTGTTTTAGGAAGATCAGCTCTTCTTTGTCTAGCAGTAACTAGTTGCCAATATTTCCTCAGCTAAGATTGGGGTCTGCTGTTCATTTCTGTTCTATGCTGGGTTTTTATCTGCCTGAATTTGCATGGGACTTGTGTATGCTGACACCATTGTCATAGAATCTTATGAGCATGGTCCCAGGAGCTTGTAGGACTCTATTTCCATATGGTCATGTACCTCCTTCCTAGATGGTCCTTGAACCCTGGGTGGGTGAAGTTTAATATAGGAGTCCTGTCCAAAGACCAACATTCTTCAGACTCTTAATCTCTACATTTTGGCCATTTGCGATCTTTTGTGTTCCTGGCCCTCTGTTGCTTGAGGGAGCTTCATTATTGAGAACTGACAGATCCATTAGTGTCCTCTTCTTTACCCCTGTTCTATGTTCCGTGCACCTTAGTTGTAGATGTTGCATTGTAGATGTGTCGCTTAGACTTGGACAATTCATAGAAAATGTCTGTGTGTGACCAGTTGTGGTATTTGGTAATAGTCTCCAACTGGTACAAAATACAGTTCATTGATAAGTGGCGACTAGGATATTTGTCTGTAAATATAAGGATATATATTTTGCACGTAGTAAGAAACTACATTTGTCTAGGGATGTGACAGTCTTGGGGTTTTCTCTAAGATCTATGACCTCGCCAGCCATGTGTATTTGTTTATGTTTACAGTACCACATTTGAGTTTCCTTCCATTGAATAGGCTTTTAATTCAATTAGATAGCTGCTAATTGCCCCCAAGATAAAGGTGCCACTACTGCACTAATGTCATACTCTGTGCCGGCCATTGATGTGGTTATTTGGTCTTGAAGCTGGTGTTGCACTATCGATTGATGCTTTCCCTAGGCACCTTCATGTTGGTCTCCAAAGCTATGAGAGCTCGCCTTCCGGGGAAGTGGTTTCAGGTCAGTTCCAGCTCTATTGCTCTAAATCCTGTGTCTGAAGTATGTTGTCTTCAGTAATAGGGTCTTACCTTCAAGTTCTGGGAGGCCATCAAGGACTATGGCAATAGCCTATATTATTTTGGGAGTCGGGAATGGAAAATTTAGTGAAACAAGGAATTTGATGCTAGGATCCACAAATGAGGGAAAACTTTTTTTTTTTTTTTTTTTTTTTGAGGCTATTGTGAATGGGAGGGTTTCCAGGTACACTTTTCTCCAACTGCTTGTTATTGGTATATACAAAGGCTACTAACTTTTATAGATTAATTTTATAACCTGCCACTTTATTAAAAGTGTTAATCACTTCTAGGAGTTTTCTGGTGGAATTTTTGGCATCTCTCAGATATAGTATCATATCATCTGCAAAAAGGGATAGTTTGACCTCTTCCAATTCTCTTCTCTTGTTGTTCTAGCAAGAGTTTCAAGCACTTTGTTGGAAAGGAGTGGAGATAGTGGACAGCCTTGTTTGGTTTTTGATTTTAATGGGAATGCTTCCAGTTTTTCTCCACTTAGAATGATGTTGGCTGTGGGTTTGTTGTATATGTCTTTAATAATGTTGAGGTATGTTCCCTCCAGGCCAGTTCCCTTTAGGACTTTGGACATAAATGCAGTTTACTTTTGTCAAAGGGCATCTCTACATCTGTTGAGATGACAATGTGGTTTTTGTCTCTGAGTCTATTTATATGATTTATGATGTTTATTGACTTATGTATATTGAACCATTCCAAATAAAGCACAATTTATATCCTTCATCATTTATGAAACTGCCCAGCAAATTCTGATGCAAAAATCATTTCTTTATTTTGGAGAAAACAGAAAACCTTCCATTTTGTCTGACTTGAAATAGAGTAAGTTCATGGTACTGGCAATACCACATATACCAGTATATGTTGCACTTTTAAACTTTAGGTAAAGAGGTCAGAGATGTGAGTAAACAAAGCTGTCCTTAGTGACTTCATGTTGGTGAGAGTCTACACAGAGAAAAGCACTTTGATGTCAAAGTGTGCACAACAGAAGAGGCTTGTTTTACTTAGCATTCCTCCTGTAAAGCAACTCAACTTTGATTAGATAATTAAATGTGGACCTTCCTGATTGTGTGTGTACCTGCTGTAAATGCCTCTACACACACACACACACACACACACACACACACACACACAATTAAGAAACTCTGTGGAATGTAAAAGACAAATAGTTTTATATCTAATATTCCCCCACTTCATTTTCAAAATAAATTTCTAGTTTATTTGGCACAATGTAAGTGTTTTTTTCCTGTTGGCTGTTAGATACTGAATGGGAAATAGAAAGTTTTCAGGGTTGATCTTGGCTTAGAGGGTAGTACTCTCTCAGAAGAAAAGTGTTGTACCTGGTAACATGTTGAAGAGGAAACCTGGAAGAGCGTTCATTGTAAAAGCTCGGGTAGTTCCTAGTTGGCAGACTCTTTCTCCTTGATCTACTCCTGCGAACCAGTGAGCCTACAACCAGTGCTTTACTGGATCTATACAAGTAGAGATCCTGTTAAGGGTAAAAATGGTTCTCAAAGTGGGATTTCTGAACCAACAGCATCACATCATCTGCGTTTAGACATGAGCCTTCAAGGGACCCACCACAGACTTACTGAGTTGGATATCTTGAAGATGGTTCCATTGGACTGCATTTTATAAACCCTCCATTTTGCGCGTGTGTCAGAGTCAACTGCTGCAGGGTCAACACAAAATTATCTCTTTAGAGATAGAATTTTAGTTCAAGCTTCACTCAGCAGTTTTAAAATCTTGATAGGTTTAATAGCCACATTGGCTCAAAGCCACTTATGTTCTCCCAGGCTCCTCGTGTTGCCCGCATTGCTTGTTCAGAATTATCTAGATGTGTTTGCCTTTTATGGGTTGCTGAAAAAGTGTCTTTTTAAAATATATCATTAGGATGACAAGGTATTTCATTATAGAAAGACAAGAAATAGGCTGTTGAGGTGCTTAAATCTAGTAAATATTATTGTCTAACCCATTAAAAGAATCAATACATGGATTGATTTAGGCATGTGGAACTTTTTTAAAAATAATTTATTCAGAATTTCATACATGTATATAAGGTGTTTTGATCAAATCCATGCCCACTCCCTCCCCTCCAACATCCATCCATATCTCCCCATCACTTTTTTCTGATAACTTCAGGTACTCTTTCTTATTTGATTGATTTTTTTTATGGGGCTTTTGGCTACTTTTAACATTTCCCCTCTCTGAAGAGGTAACCCTAAAATCTTTTAAGGATTAGATAAAAGATCCCAAATATTTTCGACATTTTTGGTCTTTGGAACAGAGTATGTTT